TAAGACCTCCTGGGAGAAAAGGGATTTGTCCAGAGTCCAGTCTGGAAGGAGAGTGTGTGAGAGCTCCAGTAGAGATCTTGTCTCTAGTGATGATGAGGCAGGTTTACAGGCCTGTGGGCTCTGCAAGTGAGGGGTGGTTGAGAACAGAAGGGGCTCATAGGTGCTGGACAGGGGGGCTGTGTGCTGGTTCCTTTGCCAGGTTCAATGGTGATGAAGTGTGATGCCAAGGAGTATCAGCACCTGGAGGAGTGGAGCGTCTCTGGGTGAGGTAGAGTGTACCTGCCCCCCACAGCTGAGAGAGAGGAGTCCTGATGGCACAAGGTGGTCCCAAGTGCTCCCTGAGCCTGAACATCAGCAGACTGAGGGGTGTCTCTGAACAGCAAAGCAGCTGCCCTGTATAAAGATCTGCTGGGAAAGAGAAGAGTGGTGCTGGTGAAGAGTGAAAGAGTCGAAATTGAGTGAATAATCTGAGGATAGAGAACTGAGAGACACTGTTATTCAGGTTGAATATGACTGATGATTAATTAAGACTGAAGTAAAGAGTTAGTGAGAGCTAGTGAGACAAAGGAAGACCACAACAGAAAGAAGAGGACTGTGTAGTCTTAGTTTTGTTTTCAGAAAGTGACCCTATGTTAGGTGTCAAAATGAGAAAAAAAGATCAGGAAAGGAATGTAAAACCATTTCAAAGTCTAAGCATCTCTTTGAGGTGGATCAATCAGACGGAGAAGAGAACCAGTCACTGCCTGGATCAGACTGTCGCTCCACACTGAGCTCACAGACAAGGAGCACACGGTGAGGACAACAGACACTGGAGGAGTTAGAGGACAGTGGCTGAGATTGGAGGATGTTGTCTGTGGCTCAACAATATTCCAGACGCTCCACAGTGGGGCTTGAATGGATTTAAAAAAAGATGTCTAAAATCCTGCATGGAGCTTTCATGAAGCACCTCAGTGATTCCAAGAAAAAAACATGGCAGAAGGTGTTAGATTAGACCTGATTGCAACTTCCTTGTGTAAATGCTGAGTGTTACAGTACGTCTGACACAGACACAGCACAGCAGATCTCCTGTCAGCTCTGTCTCTGCAGGCAAGCAGGG